AACTGAATTGAAATTTAATTGAATTTTACACAACCTTCCTGAAGTGATTGTGTTCATTATTTGGTCCTGTACTGTTAGTATCCATAAAATATGTCACTAGTCAGGGGTTGTCAGTTTACTCAATAATGGAACAGAGGTCCCTTAAGGAAAAAGGTTGGGAACCACTGCTGTAAACTGTGATGTTTTGGATAATCATTTTGTGATTCTGCACAATCGCAGCATTCCCAGAACTCTGGAATCAACTGTGAGTTGTGAGTACAATGTGTTTATACTTGATACTAATTGTAAGTCATTTGTAGCCAAAACTAAAAAAATCAGACCCAAGCAGCCAGTAATAATTTGATCACATTACTGTAAAAGTGCTGAAAAAGACTAATTTTATTTTATGTTGTACTTGCTGACTCTGAATAAAGCTAACCCCCAGTCAGCCATTTAGAGGAACATTAAGTCCCACTAGGAAAAGTCTGACAGCTGTCTGACAACCGCTGCAACTGTTCACGGGTCAGAGAGCACACGCAGAACTGAAACCTCACATGGAAAATAAGTCAGCCACAACTTCCCCTGTTTAGGTTAAATTTAAGTTGTGTGCATGAGTGTGTTGTACCTGAGAAGATGTAGTTGTAGCCTGTGCGTCCGTAAAGCTCCCCCCATCCTGCCAGAGTGGACGACCGGCAAATATGCTGTAGTGAGGAACATACCGGACCAATGTTATTATACATGCTAGTATGCTGTTACAATCATTAATATCCTGTCACCTGCCCGGGCTCAACCTACAGAAAAGAGGTAGTGGCTGGCAGCCACAGAAAGACTGATCATTTCTTTTGAAGAAGCGGTCACGCTGTTCCTTATTTTACATCCATAACCAGCCCTGCTTAACCCTGTTACTGTGTGTTCTAGTACACAATGCAATGCGTCTACGGTCTTTGAGAACAGTTTCATAATGAATTTGATTTGTTTTCTTGTAATGAAAGTAAGACTAACAGACTTTAGTCTTCCGTGGGAAGGGGTACAATCTGCATTCATTCCCAAGTCAAATGACTCTGCAGCAGTCACTGGTATTTATTGGCTCCAGCTCCAATCAGTAGTCAGGGAAACATGACACCTGAATGGACACGCTAGTTTTGCTCCTTTTCCAGCATAATCCTGTTCTATATTATTTACTGTTCTTTAGAGCGTTTGGGAACAATGTGCAAATGCTTTTCTGTTTTTCATATCCTGCGAAATGCAACACTGGCGAGACGGCGAGGTGAAAGAGCTTCTCCTGATTGGAGGGTAAGAGGAAATAAGGAGACATGTCACCAGCACTGTGGACATAGGTCTGACTATGCTACTTTGGCTCTGATATAGCCACCTCTCTCTGTCTGTAGTTCCACTTTGATTGGTTTGCTGTCAAGAGTGATAGCCTATCAACACTGAAGGCTGCTGTGCCACAGATGGGGGACTGTTAACACTCAAATAAGGTACCTCAAAGTTGTACTTTAGTACAGTAAATGTAGCACTTTGCTCTAGATTCTGATGCTAAGATTTTCATTTTACAGCAAACGTATACCGGTTCCAAATATCGGTTATCGGTTTACTTGATTACTGATAATCTGTGTCTGAATTGTGTTTGCATTGCTACATGACGGATCCCGCAACCTCTTATTTCTATTGCAAGTCATGTAGTTGGTCAGCGATTTCAGCATGTAAAGCTTAAATCTCATTCTTCAACTAATTTTCCATTGAGCCGCCAACACAACTCAAACCACGTTGGATTGTTAGATGTTGTCTGTACTATTTTCTGTCAATATTACCTTTTTTGGGGGCCACTATATGCTCTATCATATGGGCTCACAGTGAAGAACAGAACAGGGGACATTTGAAGGACAAGGCTACAGCTTTCTGTTGTTTGGGCCTTCCATAAGAGAATCTTGTCATATTTGGTGTCACTTGAAATGCCCAGAATATGACATGTATAGTATAGTGTAGAGGAGGACTTAAACACAATTACTTGAAATGTTTTAGCTTATTAAGAGAATGTTGAGCACTGATGTTAAACCCTGAGCGGAGACTGCAGATTTTGCAACAGAGCAGCAGTACCTTGCCATTGTAGAGGATGACAGGACAGACGAACCTCCCTCTGCAGCGAGCCAGCTTACTCCGGTTCACCAGGTCCTGCAGCTTACTGATCTGCACTGTGCTCTCAAACCTGCAAACGCAAACCACCACGTTATCACCGTCAATCATCAGTCAGCAGTGTTTACTACACACTATAATAATTATCAATTGTTCTCATCTTCTGATAATTTCTGCTGTGCTGTGGCGACATTTAAAATGTGTGACCACAGAAAAAATGTTAACCGGGCCAGACAGCCAAATTCACCATACAACTGTGCTCATTTACATATTGTTCTGCTTCTGTTGTCAGGCAACTGAACAAGTTTGAAATTGTGATTTTGGCACTGCCCATAAACACTATATGTATCTACCAAGCTGCTGTGATCAAATGTGACATGTAATCAATTTTTTAATCTTTATTTATTTTATTCCTGAATCTTATGGCACTAGCTTAATGAGCAGAGCAACAGCTAAATGTAGCCGTTTACTTCAAAAAAGTATTTTATTTGCCACTTTTATAAGCAGAATGGCTGTGATGCTGCTGAAATAAAAAACTCAGACTGACTGACATGTGATGTGCATTGTTTTTGGAAATATGACTCATGATATAGAGTCTCTAAAAGTGTATGATTTAGCTTTTTCCCACAGTCTAGTGTTAAAAAAGATAACCAAAATCATAAACAATATCATATATCAAATCAGCACCAAAGTGATGATAGCATTGAATCGGGAGATAACCATATTATCCAAATTGATCCTAATTGCCCACTCCTGGCAAGAACCAGAGCATTGATAAATTACTTGATATTTTAGTCAATTACATTTCTGTCCATTAACTTATAGACTGACATAATACTATAATAAAGCTATATAATATAAATATATAATAATAAAGATAATAATATAAATATATAATAACAACAACAATAATGAAATGTTATTTCCCAGTTTATTACTTTTAGTAGAAAATATTATGCTGTGAGGAAACATTCCCTGTGCACTGGGGGATTTGCCAGACCAGAAGTTTTATTTAATAAAGACAGTATATGAAAGCCTTTGTAGTGAATAACGGTTTTGCTCCTATGTTCTATTTCCAACACTACTGTGGCAGCAATGAGAAATAAGGATTTAATGAATCACTGCAAATTTCCTATTTCCGCCTACAATGTGATCTCATGTGACAGAACAGTCACTTTACCCTTCTGCTGCCTTGATGCGATCAGAGGGGCAAGAGACGGAGGCTGACCTTTGCTCCCTGCCCCACAGTAAGGTGTGCATGATTAGAGGAGGGACACAAACAAACACAAGGGTAATTGGTAACTGAGTGCACTGGACTTTGTATCTGAAAATGATGGACTGGTCGAGTGGTGGAGAGGTACCTGTCTCTCTCGACATCTGTGCACTCATACTCCAGGAAAACTATCTGCCGTGGGTAATGTCCACACACTTCTCCATTGGCATTGTGGATGATACTGTACTTGTAATCTCTGGCAAATAAGTCCAGACAACGCTTCTCTATGGCCTCCACCTGAGGGGAAACAAAAGCAAAAGTTATGCTAGTGGTTTGAAATTAACCTAAATTTTTATTTGGAAAATGACAGACCTTTTACGTCAAACTAAATGGGTAACTAAACTTGGTATAGCGGGGTATAGCAGAGTCCTGATTCATCCCTTCATTATTATATCAGACACTGATCAACCACCAATGTATGGGAATTTATAGGGAAGGTAAATCAGGTAGCATTCAAGATAAATATTACCCTACACTGATAGCTTGGTGACCTATTTATTACAATTACTATCAGTCATCGACCCACTAAGCTTGTCTAAAAATAATTAACACAAAGTGTACAAACAGATCTAGAAGTTCTGTAGCAGATAGAGGCAAACTTAGATGCAGACCCCCATGTCTACCAGCAAAGTGAATGTCCCTTACCCATTCAATATGTCACTATGCACGGTGTAAGGATGGAACACCATTCAAGTCATTGAGAATCAGCTTACCGTGCCAGCAATCATAAAATTATTATGATTGCTAGCACGGTAAGCAGTAGGCACTCTGCTGATAGCAAACATGAGCCAAAATAACCCCTGGTGGTCTGGGGTGGAAAGCTGTGCCTGTGCATAAAAACACAGTAAATGTATGGAAACTAAGTGAAGCTTGGTGGATCAGATATTGGCCGAACTGAGCAGTGGCTCCTTAAGATTGTTAAGATGTCATACACCACTACCTGCAGTATATGCTGTTTTGCTGGTGTGCAAGATAACTTTAATGTCCTTGATTCTGCAAGGGAGTTCAGCTTTTCGCTCAAACAAGAGAATGACAGGTTGTCAAGTAGCTAAAACACACATCGAGTAATGACGCCAAAACTCACCCGAGGAGTTACTTCCTTCGCTCTGTACTGAATCTTGGAAAACAAATCTATCAAATCCGCTATTTCCTCGCTCTTTTTGACCGACAGACCGGAGGCCGTGAAGCCGCCGGCCGCGGAGGGGGAGGCGGCCATCATAGCGCCTCGACCCGCGGTGGTGGCCTCTAGCCGAACTCGACCTCCTTCAAACACCGCGGAGCCTTGTCCTCTGGAACGGGAAGACCGACCAGGCCATCCCTTCCCAGCCAGCTTATTCCTGACTGCCCGCTTGAGGGGGCCGGAGCCGGGGATTCTTCCTGAATTCAGGGCACCGGCGCGCAGCTCCACTCTCCAAACACAAGCCGTTAGCCAGCCCGCACAGCCGGCCACTCACACCACGGCGGCTGCCGCTGCTACTGCTAGCGGAGTTAGCACGACTAGCCAACAGGCTAGTTGAGCTTCCAAGGCGTATGTTGGTCGTTCCCACTAACTCAAACCCCTCGTATAACGCATTTGAGACTATTTTAGGCCTTTGTAGTCCTCCACATCACCACTGTTTCGTTTGCGACACCTGCTGAAGTGATGCCCGACTCCCAGCACCAGCTAACTGAACTCCCGGTCAGCTAGAGTCAGGAAATCTCCAGGATCCTTCCCGGCCTGCTCACGCTTGCTCAATGTCACGTCTTCATGTCTCCTTAGTAACCACGGCCATGATGATAAACGGATTAAAGTCGTACAGCAGTCGACCCCGTGGCTGCAGGACCTCGGTGTAGCATATGTTGTTGTGGGTGAGCCCCAGCAGTGGAGAGTGGTGTCGCAATCGGTGTACTACAGTCTGAAGGTACAACAGGCGGTAAACAGGAAGCTGACACGACCACGTGACAGCCATCTCCCCCTTTAAATGACGTTTGTTGTTGTTCAGAGCGAGCTCGGATGTTTTGGACTGAGCAGCCACAGTTTGTTTACTCAGAACATCTTTCTGGCGCTGCGAACAGAGCTCTTTCTCCCATGTGAGATCTTACCTATATAAAGTAACTCATCCTAGGCCAATTTAAGAACAACCACTATTATATATTCCCCTCCCCTGCTCCCTAATTCTCCTTGTCAAGTTGACCATAAACAGTGTTGGGATAGTTAAATGTAATGTATTACTCATTATTCTTTTCAAAAGTAATATCATTACTTTACTTAGTTACTTAATGCATATATTAAAATCCATTTTTCTTTATTAAAATCAAACTAAAGTCATATTTTCAGCTACTGAAAGTGTTTCCTCCACAATTACAAGGATGTGATTGGATGGTTGGATTTCAGATCAGTAGGGGGTGCCAGAAAATAAATGTAGTTGTAACAAGTTATTTTTTGTGGTGGTAACTGTAATATTATTACTGAAATGTATTAGTAATTAGTTACGCTACTAGTTACTGGGGAAAGAAATTGTATTACTAGTAATGAGTAATTGCCCAACACTGGCCATGTCAAACTTTAATATGAGAAATGAAATGGCTGTCCTTAAATGATAAAAGAAGCAAGGGATTTAGTCTTTATTAATAAATAATAATATCATAATAATAATTTAATTATAAATAATCTTCACTATCTTTTTCCACAAAGGAAGGCAAAACAAGACAAAAAGCAATAAAGTAAATATAAAATAATGTGGAATTTTTAAAAGGCAGGAATAAACATGTGATCAAGACAAAACCAACATTTGGAAGTCTTCAGAATAGCCCGTCACCATGGTCTATAATCGACATTGGGTCAGATTATATTAAAATGTAGTCATCCAATCCATTAGATTACAGAAATAAAATGTGATCTAATCTGAATACTTTTGCATTACTTCAAAATCTAACACTGAAAATATTGCACTTATACCAAAGAAATAGATGCAGCCACAAAGAAATCCATAAACAAAGTCTCACAAATGTTCTTTTTTCTTTTTAAACATCTACAAGCATTTTCAGTGCAAATAAAATTCATTTAGTAAATTCAGCATTCACAGATGATGAAAACGGATAACACTAAATGTCTTCTGTGATTATCAGTTTTTAAATGTTTAAAACCGTTGTTGTTGTTAGCAAACTTGTTAGTCGCCCACTGGCAGTCCCATGATGCCTCGGGTTGAGTTTGTCGACCTTTCAGAGGCTGTGGGTGCATGTGTTGCATCGCAAATGCAATGCACGATGGAATAACATGAGTTGACTGCATTCCACTCCACCAGATCTATAGAGCCCAGAGAGTTAATGAAGAAAGCTTTAATCATTTTTAAAATTATATTTTTATTTTCTTTTATTTATTTAGATGTAATCAAAAATATAATAAAGTAATCCATGACAATGTAACGATAATCTGATTACATGCACTCTAAAACCAGACAAGTTAATTTAACAAAAAAAAAATTGAGGGTAAAAATAATTCAATTTTGTAAGTTAAAAAAAATCCTGATAAAGCAGCTTTAGTCATTTTAAGTGATTATGAAAACAAAACACTTACATATAATCAGTTACTACCACGTAATCAGCATAAAAACTTGCATATCATGTGGACATTAAAGTTCTTTTCTCTTCTAGAGTAAATTAAGTCTGGACAATCCACTCATAGCACAACTGATAGACCCTGTTTATTTTAGATTATGTCTAAAGTCGCATGACAGGTATGTTGAAATAATCTATGTCATTAGTCTCAGAGGGCAGCTTTATTGTATTGGGGGACATAATCTTTAAGTGACATTAATTTATACATGAGACTGTGAAAGTGAAATCCAGCGCTCAGTATTAATATCATCCAGCCACACAGCTAAATGAATACTTAATGTGCTGTTACAATGGCAAACATGAACATTTCATGCTGCTTTCACATGACATGTATTCAACCATGTGTGAATCAAGTTCATGATATAAACTCTCCATGTAATTTACCAGAATCTTTTTTATAGAATAATATACAATATTCAGTTTATTCTAATCACGTTTTTACAATGTAAAACACATTAAAATGAAAACTAGTCAAGAACTGAGCATACTAATCTTATCCAGGGCTTCTAACTGTTTCACCTTATATCTATCACTACTTTCTGTGTGCTGGTGCCCCACTTCCTACAGCTGGTGCCCTTTTTATTTTTTTCGCCCCTGCCCCTTTGAACAGCCCAGTCCACCACTGACATGGTCATATATATAAATAACTGTGTAACTTCTAGCTTGGAGACATGGCTGGCCCCAATCAATCACCCATTCCATGTAATATCTATGGTATTTGTATGCAGGAATAAGGGATCCATTTTTTGTCTCTCTATACTAGTTCTGATACCGCAACTCTAGGTATTTGTTGATACCAGACCCAATACCAATGCTTCATTTTCCCAAATCTCATATGTGTATTATACCTTGGCATGTGGAATTTTGTTATGATTACTATCTAAAGTCATCAGACATCAGGAAATGTATTCCTGTGGCACACACACACACACACACACACACACACACACACACACACAAATATAAATAATTTTTAATATTAAAACTGCACTTGTCACTAAAGTTGACTGTTGAGTCTAAATTCCCAGTCTCAGTCATTTGACAACCTGGAATGAACTTAACAATCAACTTATCTTTCTCCATTCTCACTGGCTGTTTTTGTTCAGGCCTGGTGGATTCTTACAAATGCCATTAGGAGCACTAGGAGGAACCAGAGGAACCAGATTGTTTCACAGATCATAGGATATAGTAAAAGTTTCAGCCAATATGACAAAAAGTTATTTTTATAAAAGTTAGCTATTGGAGCTATAATCCAGTCAAATCAGTCCAGTGGATTAGATCAGTGTATCCTTAGGTTTGCTGTGTGGTGATTTGATTCAGCACACATTCACTTAAGAGTATGCAACATGTACACACAATATCAACTGAAACAATGAAGGTCATAAAACTGGACTTGACCCAGGTCCCTCCTTCAATATTATAACCAGGCTTGGGGTATTATTTATTATGTAAATTGAGAAAACTCGTACTTTCAAGGGAGCTGTCTTCATTAAATTTTTCAGTTTTTAAACTCTTTTTTTCTCTCCATCAATGATAATTCATGATAATTTACTCTTCTTCTTTAGAAAAACTTGAATCTTTTAGTTTTAGAAATAAAAAATCTGCATTTGAAAAATTGTTCAGAAAACTCATTGGTGAAAAACGGTTAATAATTTAATATTTTCAATTGCATCTATTTAATTAAGTACCAAAATTAATCAGATTACAGTTACATTTTGTAAAAAAAAAATTTGATTATTTAATAGAATTACAATTTTGAAATACACTGAAAGGACTAATTTTTGATGTTAAAACTCTTTTATTTCCGTAATATTTTTCCATTTCCATTTTCTTTTCAAAGGTTACGTTTTTCTGTTGTCTTACACAATGCACTTATCAATACTTCTTGTTGACATTCCTGTTCTCTTGTTTGTATTTGCATATTTGTTGCTGAGTAACAGACAGTAATCATGTTACCTTACCTAACATTGTAACACTAAAACAGGTCCCTTCTTCAATACCATAACCAATTTTATGTCAGTTGTTATTTAGTTTTGTATATTTCCAGTCAAGTTTGTACACTGTAAAACCAGATAAGTTAATTTCACTCAAAAAATTGTTTTATTGTGAAACTGATTACATCAAAATGTTTTAAGTAAAACAAACAAAATGTTTTAAGTTAAAAAACATTCTTGATGAAGTAGCTTTAGTAATTTTAAGTGACACTGACTTAATTTTGTAATTTTTTGTTGCCTACTGTTAAAACAAAATTCCTAGAACAAGTAAAAGCGGCTTTTGTGTTAGTTGAAAATTATGATGCAATTAGTTTCAACAATTTTTAAGTTAAATGTCCGATCACATAAGAGAACAGGCAGTACAAGAGATTAAAGGAAAGTTCCCGAAGGTCTTCTGAGACTGATTGTTGTAGAGTATAAATGTCTCTCTTAGTTAGGAAACAATCACACCTTTAGCTGTTTATTAATACAACACTTAATTAGCATGTGTGTGTGCGTGTGTGT